TATATATATATATATATTAATAATATATATTATAGTATATATATTAAAAACATAGTTAAACGATAGATATTAACAAAACACTATATATACGTATATATTAGCAATAGTTAAAACTGAAGTATGATATTAAAACAAAACAAGCAAAACTTAAAAAATTAAGCAAAGTTTAAAATCTTCTAAGAGATGTTGCCTTCTTAGCTTTCGTAATCTAGAAGTCTGGCACGCTTAACGAAAATATTCTTCTCGATTGCTTGTGTTTTTCTTTGGAACCTTCAACGTCAGTTGTCTGCATACGTAGCTGCCAACGGCACTTTGAGAATTTTTTGAGACGGTTCGCTCATATATTCGCGGCAATATTGTTCTAAGATTATAAACAATCGTCCTGCATGTGTTAATCATGTCTATGACTTTTTCGCCTGATTCTCAATGAGGGTTTGCTAGAGACATTGAAAACTGTTATTCGTTACGATCTTAGCAGCCTGTTTTTGAGTTTTAAAAGTTTCGAGATTTCCGTAATGCACAGTAGCCCCATCAGGCAAACAGCAGCAATCAGTGCGTTGCCAATTGAGATTCCATATAGGCAAGCGCATTGATTGGCTATAGGAAAGATATTATGTGGCACACGAAACAGATGCAATGGTTCCTTCATCACCTGTGATTTTCCAATCGTGTGGTTCGCTTCGACGAATCTTTTTAACGGCAAGAGAACACGGAGCCATGTGAAGAGAGACAGTGTGTTGCTGATGTAATCTGATGTGAATGAACTTGACTGACTGACTTACATTACAAATTAACATACTAATATACAAAATAAATGTGCTGAGTAATGATGTGTTGTGATGATGTAATGATGTTGCAATGGAGAAGGAAAGGTCTAGACTTGAAAGAATAGCATGAATAGATGTGTGAAAGTGTGATCATATGGGAAGGGAATGTCATGCAGGCAGTAAATAATAGGGGGCGTGGGGGGCGTAAGCCCAAAGTTTGGAAAATCAGTTACAGTTGAGAAACTTAACGGTTGACTTGAATTTTTTCAATAGTCCAAACTATGAATTTTTATTTTAAAAGTTTTTATTTCAAATGTAAATTCTAAACATCAAATTCACAGGCTGAATCTGATTATCCATTAATCGTTAATCTATTGTGAATCCCGTCTCCACTGGATCCAAATTGCACAATTGCCCCGTTTGCTTTCTTTCTGACGGGAGTTAAATCAAATTAGAACAGGCAAGGTGAATTTCCAGATAAGAAACTTGAAACTTTACAGTTTGGAATAATAATACCCGCATTGATCAGAAAATATTAGAGTGGGAGTTTTTTAAGAAACTACGAGTAGTTAATTCAATAAAAGATTGAGAATCTTTCAGTACTAAAAATTCTCAACGCTTCTTATAAAAAACGAGTTTATGCTAAACTCCCCCTGTTATTTGTTAACGTCCTTGACTCATTATCATAAATTCCTATGACAAAACTGCTGTGAAGCAAGAATACATTGCAAAATTGCAGTAGAAGTATTTGATCAAAGAAGAGTGTTTCATCTTTCGAATCAGGCATATGCACAAGTTTGCTCTCAAATCATCATTTCAATTGTAAAGAACGAAAAGGCATTTGGTCATCTGAAAAGTGTTAGTAGTTTTCTTCGATCAAGAACAAAAATAAAAGGCTCGAATTCTGGGTGCGTTTATATCGTGAAAAAATGTATTTTAGATACATAGATCTGCATCAATTGATCAATTGATCAATTTAGATAAAATTGATCAATCGATCTGAAAGAATACTACTAATCATTAAGTATATTTAATACTGGTTTTGCTTGATTGTTGCTTTACTTCTTACAGCAAGTTTAAATTTTTGTTTCATGGTGATCAAAATTTAGAGATTTAGGCTTTTATGTTTTAGGCTATTTGTTGAGTAAGGTTTTGGTAGTTATAAAGAAAATAGAACTATGGTGTTCGGGCTATTTACAAATATAAATTTGGTGGGTACAGTAGATTTACTGGTCGCATCAAAAATTTCTCACTTAAAGTTGGAATTTTCATCCTTCCACGCCCCTCCAAAATTAGCAACTTATTTTCGTCCCTGATGTCATGTGCTAGGTGACGCTGTGAATGACGTAGTTGGATGTCATGGTGATGGCATGAAGTAGGAATATGGCCTAATTTACAATATTAAAATCACTACAGGTCAACCTATACAGTCATGTGCTCGTGTTTTCTGATTGGCCTATTTCCATCCACAACTGGGTATATATATTTCCTAGCGTAGAGTTTTCGATCTATGTTCTGACGTTTTAAACTCTGAAGAGTGTCAGACGAAAAGCTTTAGTTTACTAAATGTTTGCTTTTTTCAACGCCATTCACAAGTTTTGTACCACCAAAAGATTGTTTCCAACAAATGTTGAATATCGCTACAAGGGACATTGCTACATATCGCAATGCAAGTTTTAAAAAGAAAATTGAGATGTTATCATAAAAAAACATTTTGTATTTTTTGTATTTTATAAAAACATTTTTTGTCTCCCAACTGCATCTTTTAGCTCCTGTTCCCGGATAGAGAAAAACTTAAACCTCTTTTTATGGACGTTAATAGTTTTGTCCCCTCGATGGAAGGGATTTGGAATATCATCAATTCCACTTGCAAGGTCCTTACCTACTGAGCAGAAAATTGATTCATACTTTCAGCAATTTCTTTTTTGCCAAAATTATTTTTGACCTGTTACTTTAGACATACTATCCTCGTACTTTTCGATCTTTTATTTAAAAGCTGATCTAAGGCTCTCAAGGTTCTTTCATGTTACCTTGAAAAATAATTTCGTTTGAAAAATAGTTCTTTTTAACTGGGCATCGAAGTTGTTTACCTTATTGCAGATATGCTTATATGAATTCATTAAAATTTCTAACTTCGCTTAAAGTGCTGCTTTCAGTGGCGTCGCCACGGGGTGGACTGGGGTGGTTTTCCCAGCTGTCGATTTTCTGATTTCTCGAAATTCATTCAAAAAACTTTTTTTTACGGGAGGGCGGGGGGGAGTGGGAGTTGGGCTGATCAAATCGATTTCGAATTTCGATTTTCGCTTCAAAAAGTTGCTTGTCCAAAAGATAAAAAATTTTAGAAAATTTTAAAATGAATAAAAAATATTAAAAAATGATTTTCCAAGAGAGTGAAGGACATATCCGAGAAAATTTGTTTCTGTCCACCCCAGTCTTTTCGAGCTGACGACACCACTGGCTGCTTTCTTCCACTCATCTCTAGATCATTAGTTTTTAAGTTCTTCGTCAATCCAAGGGCAGTACTTTCCAGAGTCTTCTCTAGTTTTGGTCCTGGCTACCTGACTCGTTCTGAAAGTTAAATTCTTTACAATGTACATGCAGGTCAGGGGCGGACTGGCTAATTTTTTTGGCCCGGGCAAATTTTTATCAAACCGGCCCACAATAATAGCAAATAAAAAGCTCCTCGGAAAATGCAAGTAAACGTTAGTCTGTAAGGAAAACAAGTTTTTAAATTCAGTAATTTTGTGCATGGATGAATGCTGGTTAACAGAATATGGTTAACAGAACTTGTTAAATATGTCATTTGCTGACTAAAGAGTAAAGACCCTGCTGTTTTTGTGACGTTTGTGGCTTTTGCTTGATAAAAAAGCTTTGTATCGTAGCTGAATCCTTTTTTAAGTCTCGCAGCTTTTCCTCACGAATGTGCACCACCTTTGGTTGGAGTCTTCTTGCTCTTCCCTTGTTCTACGTATGTCCTCTTCATTGCTTCACATCACAGAGGAAATCGCTCAGTGAACTCTAATTTTTGTACTTTTAAATTTATTACATTCAGCAATAGCTTGTGCTTAGGCAAAAACATGACCAGCTTCAAGCAAAAGCTAAGTAAAAAGACATCAAGGCAGGTTAAAATCTTATGTATCGCATTGAAGCAGGTGTGTTACAGTATAATATGTCGCCAAAAGGAAACACTGTCAAGAGAAAATATAACAAGATGTCAATCAGGGCCTCCGACGAAGGGGGGGGGGGCGGGGGGCCTTAGCCCCTCCCCCACTTTTTTGCAAAACAATAGAGTTTTTTTCAAAATCTTTTGTTATGGGTGTTAAATTTTCCCTTGGCCTCCCACTATTCAACCCTTTGTCGGAGCCCATGTCAATAACATGTATATTTATTCTTTCCACAAAGTCTCTGAAAATTCAAGGCAAAAAAATCAACGCGTGGGTATACTTTTTTGCTTCGCATTCACTTTCTAAGCTAATTTATTTTATTTGCACTTTTATCAGCCGGCCCTTAAACCGACCGGCCCTTCGGGCAATCGCCCGAATAGCCCGACCAGCCAGTCCGCCCCTGATGCAGGTTGCATGCAGGTTGCAGCAGAGGGTCGTCCGGTTGCAGCAATTTGATAACGACAGATTACAAAGTGGCCTATTAGCGTACTATTTGTATACCAGTTATTGATTGGCCAATTTTGATTGGCAGATGTCTAAAGCAACGTTATCTGTCGATTTTCTGTTACGAAAGTTTTAAAGAGGTGTTGTGCTGAATTAGCCTTTGTAATTGAACCCTTGCATTCTCAAATTATGCAACCGAATAACCAGCAAACAGTCTAGCCGTCAAACAAGCTTTAAAAACTGTCCACGTTTCCTCTAGATTGTCGTGTTGCAACACTGAAGTAAATATATTGTAACATCATTAAATAGTTGCGAAATTTATGGGCAACGTCATTAATAAACGTTACATTTATCGTTCGTATTTCTCTTCACAATTATTGAAGAATTAAAAAAGTTATAGCAATTTCTTGCAACCAATCAGAGTACTCATCCAAATTCAATAAATATAGAGAAGTTTGTTACAACACTTTCAAGTAAAACAGTTGTGTATCTAGGCTTATCTTCACTGCTTCTTTGTGATTTTTTTAAATTTGTAAAGCAAGCAAGGCTTCTTAAATATACTATGATGACAATCAAAGATTGTCCATTGCTTTAGACGCATAGGACGTAATCAGCTGTCGAAAAAATGGACAATACCACTACCATTACCCAATGCCATCCAGCATCAACAGGAAAGGTTGTGATTGGACTGATGTTTATTGCAATGCCATTTCATATTTTGATTTCATACACGTTTGCAAAAGACAGCACACTGTTTCTGCCGCGGCACAGAATCCTGCTCTGCCTCTCCATTTCGCATGGATTTCAGCTAACAGTCCCATTTGTATCAATAGTTATCATGAAATCTGGAAGCTTACATGCCCAAGGAACTCCCTGTCAAGTGATGCGGAGCATCGTTCAGTTTAGTACAGGGGTGACCATTGTGGTCTCAAGTTTTACCTTGATTGCATTGTCAATGGAACGCTATATTGCTTGCATTCACGGTGCTCGATTGCATCAGATTGTAACAAATCAAAGAGTTACTTCTTTGTTGGTGGGTTTCTGGTTTCTCGGAGCTGTTAGTGGAGGATTGATTTTCATTGGTAAGAAAAAGACCGTGGTTGCATCAACAATCCTCAGCGACACACCGAATATCCAAATTTTGATAGTCGTCATTACGTTCCCAACATGTCTGATCCTCATTTTTGTTCAAACTCGCTTATTCATAGTAAGTCGAAGACAGATAACAAGGGTTATGCCTGGTATGGCTGGTAGGAGACATCCGGAACAAAACAACATGGGCAGGAGGCAGATTAAGGTTGCTGTAATCGCTGGCATAGTGATCATCTCATATGTGACATTGATAATCCCTAGCGCATGTCATGTAGCTGTGAATATAGTGTCCAATGGCCTAAAACCATCGCCAGTCAAGAAGAACCTTACTATTTTATGGACATTGAACGCAATAATCGATCCACTTGTGTATGGTCTTGGAATGAAAGATGTCAGGACAGCGATCATCAGGCAAATTAAAAGAATTCATTTTTTTGGCTGTTTAATCCCATAGTCTATCTTTACTAAAGTCGAATCTACATCTAATTTACAAGAAAGAGGGTAGCACAAAAAATTTAATGATCAGTCTTGTAAATGAGAAGTTTAGGTTTAGAAAGCCGTTGAGGCCAAAATAAGTTTCGCCAAAAAGAGGTTGCTTGATTTTAATTGCCCATTTTTGCCTGATTTCTGAATATAAAACTGACCTTCTGCTCGATGATGCTGAATTCGCTTGAAGCATATGTTTCAAGGCATTTCATCTTTACACAGGTTACATTGCAGTCAGAGCCAGGCCATTGCTTTGTAAGTCGTTTGCCTTCGTCCACAGAATCAGAGCATTTAATATCGTTTGGTAAAGACTCCTCTTGGGTTCAAAGATCTTAGACTGTTTGTACCAAATGTTACTTGATTAGGTATATGGTGAATTAGGTCGTGTGGGTTTCTCGAAAATAGATCTGGATTGGGATCTGATTTGAAGTGAAAGACATCCTGTATGTAAAAAGGAATTTTTATTGTAAATTTCAATGCAGCAAACATCGTAGACGAGTACATGAATGTAAATCTTAAATGTATTGCGAAGAAAATCTTCATAGTAAATTTTGTCATCTTTTTCCAAGAATTTTCATTGCTCTTTCCTGTATTTTTCTTTTCACCTCTTTGCGCTGATTTACTTGGAGAGAAATGCCAATTAACGGTCATTGATTAAAATTTGAATATATCAAACTTCTGACAAGTGTTTTCCTTTCTTCTGAACCACTCTCTTACGTAAAGCAGAAATTTTGGGGTCAAATATATGTTGTAAAGTTTAACTTTCAGTAGTCTGGCACTATTTTTTATTTACGTGATGTCATGCCCCTGCAGACTGGGAAGCTAATAGTGTGGGATGGGTCTTTTTTACTATCAAGGCATCTGCTTTTCTGGACTTGGTATCAATTCGTTATTTTCAAGTCAATCTAAATGTGCAATAGATGTGCGGTCTCTATCGCATACTACAGTATTTTGGCCCTGGTTCTGTTACCTACGACCCTGCCAAAATAACAGTAATCGGTTAAACAAACTTCAATTTTGCCTTTGACCAAATCTCAAGAAACATGTAGCAGAATAAGCTGATTTTGCATAGTTACATGTATTTTACCATACTATTCCTGCCCGCATGAAAAATTAGAAAATTCTTAGAAACAGATTTTTGTGACGTCATCACTTTCACTTAACTCTATTAAAAGAATGCCAGGATTATTAGGCCGATACAGTGAAAAAAGTCTTACTTGTTCTATTTATTTTATTTTCTTCAGAAAAATGTTTTCCCTACAGCTTCATTCTGTTTGTATGCTTAAACAGGACCAAGTGATACATGGCATGGGCGTAGCCTTACATAAGCCTTGCCCGAACATCAACTGAGCAGATGTAACTTCAATATCTCTGTTGTGATGCGTGAACCAAAAGAGAAAACATGGTTTTGGATATATTATTCATAACATAAAGAATCTATGTACAAACTAATTCTTCGACGAGTAGCCGAACCGGCCTTGCACTTAGGAAGCAACCTTAAACAAAACGAACGGCGAAAGGACAACGTGTCCAGCACGTTAAAACCCGGACCCTATACAAACAGTATCATATCATATACCATAACATAACATAAGTATCATATCCACTGATCAGTGGTCATCCCCCAAACAATATCTCAAAAAGACGAAATAATTACAAAAGGGCCAGAACATTTCTCAAACACTTTGCCCCTAAAACGATGCACAATAAACTCTTCTTTCTGTTATTTATCCATGGTTATTCTGCTAGTATTGGCAACACACTAAAAATAAACCTAATGAGACTAATTGGAATCCTTCATAGTTACATATTTTCATTATATGCTAATTAAATTATCATACTTCGATTCTACCCATTTTCTTACAAATTCTTACAACAATTTATATCGAATCTGATCATTGTAACATTGTACTTAATCTCATGCATGCAATATGTTATAGAAATCAATTTAGTAATGTTTCAGTAGCGTAATAAAGTCACATGTTATGCGAAGACCTGTCGTGTTGATTTTATACACCAAAAGCGAGTATAAGTTCGTCTGTGCGGCATTGAGTAGCTACTTTATGACTTTGTTGAGCCCTGTAAAGCTTGAGCTCTTCGAGGAGAATTTGATAGTTAACATTATGAAATCTTTTTTGAGATATGGCATTAGTCATTAGCATTTTTAACTTTACTATTCTTGTTTTTCTCCCTGCAATTAGATGATGATTAAATGAAATTTAATCAGAGTTAATTTAACGAGAGAGTTCCTCGCTTTCGATGATGTGGGAACATAGCCTCATGACTGACCTTTCTGATGTCTATGGCAGTTTTCTGAGGGAGCTTTATGCCCTTTATGTTGCATTGGTATTTCATTCTCGAGTAAGTAAATTAAGTAAATCTTAAATGCGACATATAACTGATAGCTACTGCGTGCACAAACGAATCATTTTGATTTGCCTGATGATGGCTCTCCTAACATCAAGCATCCCTAGGCCATACACAAACGGGTCGACGAAGGCATTTACTGCCCACAAAGCAACAAGATTCGATTTGAGCGGCATGGGTTTCAGGCCATTGGACACTATATCCAGAGCTACATGATATGTGCTCGGGATTATCAATGTCACATATGAGATGATCACTATGCCAGCGATTACAGCAACCTTAATCTGCCTCCTGCCCATGTTGTTTTGTTCCGGATGTCTCCTACCAGCCATACCAGGCATAACCCTTGTTATCTGTCTTCGACTTACTATGAATAGGCGAGTTTGAACAAACACGAGGATCAGACATGTTGGGAACGTAATGACGACTATCAAAATTTTTATACTGGGTGTGTCGCTGAGGATTGTGGATGCAACCACGGTCTTCTGCTTACCTATGAAGATCAATCCTCCACTAACAGCTCCAAGAAACCAGAAACCCACCAATAAAGAAGTAACTCTTTGATTTGTTACAATCTGATGCAATCGAGCACCGTGAATGCAAGCAATATAGCGTTCCACTGACAATGCAATCAAGGTAAAACCTGAGACCACAATGGTCACCCCTGCACTAAACTGAACGATGCTCCGCATCACTTGACAGGGAGTTCCTTGGGCATGTAAGCTTCCAAATTTCATGATAACTGTTGATACAAATGGTATCGTTAGCTGAAATCCATGCGAAATGGAGAGGCAGAGCAGGATTCTGTGCCGCGGCAGAAACAGTGTGCTGTCTTTTGCAAGCGTATATGAAATCAGAATATGAAATGGCATTGCAATTAACATCAATGCGACCATGAAGTGACCCATCGTTGCAGGATGGCACTGGTTTACTGTCGTGTTATTTTCCATGGTTATCGATAGTTCTGATTTTATTAATTCTTTCTTGACCGGTTTGACTCGATGCTATGATCTGAAAATTTTCAGGTCAACAATATGCTTAGTAATAGTTTCCCGTCTAAACAAGAAAGTCTGACAGATAGTGCTCTAAAGAACACAAGAGTTTTTAATTCCAACCAAATTTGCAGTTATACATCTGCTGTTACACGTTTGCTTCATTTGTGGGATATTTTCACTTGACTATGGCTTTTATACCCAAGCATTCTAACATCTGCTCAACAGAGTAAAGGATCAGTGTGACTGGACAACCTGCGTGGCAAAACGCGTGTCAAAGGAAAGTTCCTTTGTGAATTCATTGTAAGCAAAGAAAGATGTTAAAGTTACAGTTTATAATAATGTGAAAGGTTAGCCGGTAAATAACGATAGAATTTTTAACGATAATTGAATATTAAACCAAATTCATGGTTTAACTGACAATATCAAATCTAATGCGGACAAAACCCTAAAGGATATATCCAAAGGCTTCAGATCATAGCGATGTGCCTAAAGAATTGAATGCTGACTACAAAAACCTATATAAAATCAAGCAGTACTTCATATTCGTTTTCATCATGCGAAGATTTCTGTCTGATTGACATACCTCTTTGGATAAAGGATGGAAGGCCAAGAAAACACCCAAAAAATTTTGGGCACAAATTAAAAGCTTTGCCTGTAATAAACTGAACTTGAATTGTGTTTACAATGCCTCGTTGGGACAAGGAATATTCAATTTAAATTGAAATTAAGAAAGGTAAGTGTATCTAACGAGAATTGCCATCAATTAAGTGTATCTAAGTGACGTCATCAAGTACACCATCCTAGTAATATGCCTTGAGCTTCATATGCGGACTTCGTGGATGGCGGAAAAAGAAGGAAGGCTCGTTATTAGAATCCGGGGAGCTCAAATTTTGCGCCATACGCCAAACAAGAGATTTGCAGCCAAAATGAGAGGGTTTTTAAAGAAACACACCTGCGAATGGTCGAAATATATTAGAAAAATCTGCGCAATACATCTATATGTACATTGTTACAAGCTTCAAACCCCAAGCAATGTAAAACCCCAGCTATGTAAAACCCCAGCTATGCAAACCCCAGCTATGTAAAACCCCAGCTATGCAAAACCCCAGCTATGCAAAACCCCAGCTATGTAAAGCCCCAGCTATGCAAAACTCCAGCTATGCAAAACCCCAGCAATGTAAAACCCCAGCAATGCAAAACCCCAGCTATGTAAAACCCCAGCAATGTAAAACCCCAGCAATGCAAAACCCCAGCTATGTAAAACCCCAG